AAAAGGAAGACGCTGCAGGCTCAAGGAGGCCAGTGGGGAGGAACAAGGACAGATGGAAGTGGTTAAGTCCTTTGGATAAATATTTTTCAAAAGGAAAACATATATTATTGGCAAGGACACTACTCAGAAGATAAGAGATGGTCCATATCTCAGAAAAAAAAATTCAACTTTTTTTTGGTATAAAAAATACGTATTATGAAAGTGGCTTCAATATTCAGCTACCGTCTAATGCTATCATATATGACAAAGCAGCATACATAAAAGGATGGCCCTATAGTTCCAAGAGGCCCATGGCTTGTTTTGGTTATCCTTCAGGCAAACAAAATTTAAGATAAAGCTTTCTGGTAAGAGTTTTATTAATTATGCCATGACATTATTAAACTAGTGTATGTAGAGTGCCGGGCTAAAATGGGGGAGTTCTAGTCCCAGATCTCTTATTGACCAGCTGTTATATTTAGGGCCTTTGACCTTCTTTCTTTCTTCCTCCCCTTCTCTAAAATAAAGGACTTGGACTAGATGATTCCATCTAAATTCACACATTTTGTGGTTCTCTTCACCACCAGGAAAACAATCACCACAAATATGTAGCCTTCTTTTGAAACATGTTTTTAAATACCTGGAGACGAATGTACTAGAAGAGTAGGGAGATGTCATCATTTTTCTACTTTTGACAGACATGTAATAAAGACTCACTATTTATATAAACATATAAATTAAGATGTGAGATTAAACAGTGAACACAAACAGAAGAGACAGAGAAAAGGAGGCTGGTGGTTACTGCAGAGACAACGAGCCCACAAAGTCCTCCTGGGAACATGTGTCCCTCCACCCAAGCAATGACCTGCCTGGGTAGCCCAGAGGCTGAGGATAAGGTGAGTGCTGTAGAGTCTACAACAAGCCCGCAGTCCCTCTGGCATGGGCTGGATTCAGTAATGTTCGTCTAATATCTTCCCTGCACTCCACCCCCCAGCACATGTTCAAAGGCTCACAGACTATCTTCCTCTGTCCATCACTCCCCTTTAACTTATTTATAGAGTGACACATCAGAGATTCCAATAAATGTGTCATGCATTCAGTCTCCTCCTTACTTGATGAGTAATTCAATGAGTTAAATTATGCCCGAGTTGGCAGACTTGACCCAAAGATGCAGGGAATAGAATATGAGTACACTCCTACTTTGCAACAGGCAAGTTTTGCTGTTTTAACCTAGGACTTTGATTCCATTATTCTTCTTCCAGACCATCCTGCTGCCTGGATCCCTAGTCAGAATCTTCTGGCTACATTAGCATATCTAATAAAGTTCTGTCTGTAAAAGCAACAGCAAATAAAAATTGCTCATAAAGGATTCTTCCACTGAGAGGCAAGCAGTTTTACTGCTCAATGGAAACTTAAAGTCACTTTGAATGGGCTTCTGAATGCAGTAAAGTAGAAGCTACCAGGAAAAGCAGCCACCTCAAGCCAGCTTTCCTAATAACAGGGAGCCCTTGCCATCTGAGGGTCAAACATTATTCATTACTGCCAACCTTTAGTAACTAATTGATGGCCATGATTTGTTCCACTTCCTAAGAGTTAAAAGTCAACTGTAACGCAGAAAAATTCATTATTTGTCTATCACTATTTTCCCCTTTGTAGACACAAGGTAATTCCATAAACTTCTTCAAAACTGTACCTAATGCCAAATCCTACTGCAACTATGCTGACAGCTCACCAAGTTACACCTAAATCAAAAACATGAAATTTCAGGATCAGATCACATTATAAATGAAGCAACTATTGCAATTCTACAGGAAATCCCTAGTTGATGGGAGAAAATGAGGTTCTCGGCACTGAGGACCCCACCTGGCCTACGACACAGAACCCCTGGTCTGAGAGGGGACAATCAGACCAGACGGAAAAGGCCCAGCAGAGAGAAAGTGGCTCCCCGTTGTGCAATCCCAGCCATTCCGCTTCCAAACTGGAAACTCATTCACCTCAGGACCACTTCATCCTGCCACACCCATTAGAAACTGATTTTTCATTTCAAAACTTGTTTTACTCTTTTATTACTTTGAGTGGATGGTAATTGGATTGTCTCATTCTGTTTGACGATGGTTATCTCTACTCCCTCTGGGAAAAGATATGGTGGTGAGTGACTTAAATGGCCCTCTTAGCTTTTATTTAACTGACAATTTTTTTATAGCTCTTATGGGTATGCCAGGCACTCTTCCAAGAATTTCACCAGTGATAACTCCATTTAATTCTTATAAATCAAGGATCAATCAAGTATAATTAAGTATAAACAAAAGAGGAACCCACTACTCTCGGGGAACAGAGTTACAGGACTGTTTTTCAGGCTTAACGAAGATGCCTTTCTCAGCGTTCCCCACCTTGGGATGCTGGGGGCGGGCCAGCCCCGTGGCTTAGCAGTTAAGTACATGTGCTCCACTACCGGCGGCCTGGGGTTCGGATCCCGGGTGTGCACCAACGCACCGTTTGTCCGACCATGCTGAGGCGGTGTCCCACATACAGCAACTAGAAGGATGTGCAACTATGACATACAACTATCTACTGGGGCTTTGGGGAGAAAAAGCGAAAAAAAGGAGGAGAGTTGGCAATAGATGTTAGCTCAGGGCAGGTCTTCCTCAGCAAAAAGAGGAAGATTGGCATGGATGTTAGCTCAGGGCTGATCTTCCTCACACACACACAAAACAAGACTACTGGGGAGAGAGCAGACACATTTTCATAGAGACCACGAAGCCTCCCCACAAAAAGGAATCAAAATCCTGACTATCACTGTTTGCCAGTGTCTACTACAGCAGGGCACATGCATATGCTGTATACCCAACAGAAATGTGTCCATGTTATGTACAAAAATTATGCACAAGAATGTTCACAGCAGCACTATTCTTAGTATCCCCAAACTGGAAACAACCTAAAGGTCTATCAGCAGTAAAATGGATAAATCAATTGTGGCATATCCACACAATGGAATACTCCACAACAAAGAGAATGAATGAGCCACTGATAGATCCAACGGCATGATGAGTCTCACAAACATGATGCCAGACACAAAAGAATACAAACTGCGTGATTCCATTTATATGAAGTTCAAGGACAGGAAAAACTAATCTATGCAGACAGAGGTTGCAATGGTGGTTGCCTATGGAGGGGTGGGGATTGCCCGCAAAGGGACACAAAGGAACTTTCTAGAGAGATGGAAATGTTTTATATGTTGATAGGGGTATTGTTTACACATGTATATCCATTTATCAGAACTCACTGAATTGTATAATTAAGATCTATGCATTTCACTGCTTGTACACTTTATTTCAATATAAAAAAGAGAGAGATGTGACCTCATAGGTGTTACAAGACTCCTGAAGCTGTGGGATTCTGTGTTGTTTCTGTCCTGAAGATGCTGCCAGTGGCAGGTCCACAATCTGTAGCCTAATCCAGCTGCTAAAGCAATGCCTCTGAGGAACCAGACACAAGAGTCCCCGAACTCAGGTCACCTCCAACCCTCACTTTATTCATTCCCTGTGGAAGACTTGGCCTTGGAAGGTTGATGAGGAGGTGCCAGAACTCTTTGTCTCTCAAGCCAAATTTGAATACCCTTCCAGAGTTTTTTGCTGTATGATTCAATATGACCAATTCCTGGCTCCAGCAGAGGACAGGCCCAGTGGGAAGTGTATCTAGGCATGGTTCTCACCATATTCACCTAATGCTGCTCCTCTTCCTGTCTTGTCGGGGAGGAAGGGAGACTGTAGGACTAAGATGTTCAGGCATTTGGAATTTTGTTTGAATGTGGCAACTCCTAGTTATCTTCCCAATCCATAGTAGCTGAATTTGGATGGGCACATGGATGCTTAGCTAGAGACTACAGTTCCCAGCTTCCCTTGCAGCTAGATGGGGTCATGTGACTATGCTCTCACCAATGGAACGTGAGTAGAAGTGACATATGCAAATTATACTTGCTTTAAAGGAAATTGCTTGCCCCGAGCTTCCACTCTTTCCCCCTTTCCATAGGCTGTAACACAGAGTAGTAGTGACCTAGCTTCAACTAGAAGGAGAGGACAACACTCTCAGGAATAAACGAGCTATAGAATGGTCAGAAGCTAGGTCCCTGAACAATCCCTGGAGCAGCTATGCCACTAGACTGGTCCACTCACTTCTCGACTGCCATGTGAAAGAGAAATTTCAATCTTATTTGAATCATTTTATTTGGGGTCTCTTTGTTACAGCATCTTAGCTAATACCCTGAGCACATAAGCTTTTGAGGCTCATGATCTCCAGGCAAGAATTTCCAAGTCTCATGTACTCTACCTAGCCCGGTAATTTGTATTCCAAAGTTCAGATTATACTAGTACATAAAGACAGCACCCTCTTTCTTATCATTCCATGTTAACCCTGTTGCTTAAACAAGTTGCCCACAGTCTACAAGATACCATCAACTCCTTATTCATGTATACAAGGTCCTTTCAAGACATGGTCCCACCCTCCAAGCTTGGCCTCATTGCATGCATTCACTTCACCTGCATCTTGTGTTCTAGTCACCCTGGACGTTTCCTGAAGGCACACTGCCCATGCAGAACTCTACGCTCACACCTCTGGCCAAGTGGAATGGCCTTTTCACCACCCCCATCCCACACACTCTTCTGCCCATGAGGTAATTCTTACTAAGCCTTCAAAACCCAGCCCAAAAGACCCCACAGAAGCTTCTTTAAAACCCCCAAGCAGAATGACTTCCTCCCTCTGCTGTGCTTCCACAGCACTTTGGGCAAACCATTAAGAAATTGATCACTCTGAGCTATAGGGATTTAGTTATATGTCAGACATCACAGGTACAATATATGTTCCAAAGACAAAATCCCTGAAAACAAAGACCATACTTTGCCCATTTTCTTAACCTTGGCATTTAGTACATGATATGGCTCATACTCAGTGAGAGTTGAATGAGAGACAGAAGCAGAATTTAACAGATGGTGTGTTTCAAAACCTTATATGTACTTTATCATTCTTACCTATTCAGTGCAAACGCATAGTGGAATTTAATATTATGCTGGTCAGCCAAATCACATGTAGGCAGCATTTCCAGTGTTTCTACCAGTTTCACCATTGCATCATAGTCCTGTTGGCAAGAGGTCCCAAGGTGAGAAAGAGAAACATAGCTCTACAAAGATTTTTCTGAACAGTTATAAACATGAGACAGCCTTGGCATTTAAATACAAGCCTTTCCCTACAGACAGCATTTAGTAAAGTTACTTGCAGCCCTTAATAGAACAGAAATAAGATTAAAAACAAGATGGATGAGAGAGAAGACAGAGAAAGAATCCCTGCTATCAGAGGCCACTAAAAGATCAAGGGAAGGTGGTTAGATTCAAAAGCAGCAAAAGAAAGCAAATGAGCCCAGCAGCCAGGAAAAAGCTACCACGTTTTGAGTGCAAGAGAGTTAACACCAACAGCAGAGCTGTGGGTTAAAATGAGCTGGACATAGACATACAAGGAATCTTACAGTCACTTGCCACATAGAGGGAGGAAATTACTCAGTCCTTCCTATTTTACCAGAAATAATCAAATTCATCTAAACCAGGGCTTGTCAACCTCAGCACTACTAACATTTTTGTACTGGATCGTTCTGTTATGGGGCTATCCTGTGCACTGTAGGATGTTAAACAGCATCCCTGGCCTCGACCCACTAGATGCCAGTAGCACCCCTCCACCGAGTTGTGACAACCAAAAATGTCTCCAGACACTGCCACATGTCCACCGGTTGAGAACCACTGTTCTAAATTGCATAATTACCCAGGGAAAAATTGTTGCCGTGTTTGTCTCAGCTGGGTCCCCTGTGAACAGTGCCATCTGCTACCCTTTCAGCCAGGCTTAGAATCATTGTCACTGGCCAATTCGCTGACAGCCAGCCACAGTTAGTGAAGGATGACTTCCCACTGAAATCCCATGCCTGTTTTACGGCTCTGCACCTTGATGCTGCTGCCCAAGGAAAGAGAAGGCAGTGTATTGAGGGATAAAGAGTGGCTCACCTTTGAGTCTGAAAGATCCACCAATGGAAGGTTATAAAACAGCAAGATGCATGAAGGCAAGGACAGAAGGAAGCCAACAACTCAAGGGAAGAAAGACTTCAAGAAAGGCCATTCCCAGGGCCGGCCCGGTGGCATAGTGGTTAAGTTCGCGCGCTCCGCTTCGGTGGCCCGGGGTTCTCAGGTTCAGACCCAGGGCACAGACGTGCACACCACTCATCAGGGCATGCTGTGGCAGGCGTCCCACACATAAAGGTGGAGGAAGATGGGCATGGATGTTAGCCCAGGGCCAATATTCCTCAGAAAAAGAGGAGGATTGGCAATAGACGTTAGCTCAGGGCTAATCTTCCTCACCACGGGGAAAAAAAAAAAAGAAAAGGCCATTCCCATTCTCTTGTCCCATGGGGCATGATTTAATCATCATCATAATCCCTAATAGCCTCTGCTATTAAAATCAATTAGATGTATCTGTTTATCACTAGGGGCATTAGTTTCTTATGAGTCAGAGTCAGTTGTGGCTGACTCTGTTCTTGGTTCAGGTCATAAACGGATGCCTCTTTCATTTAAATTTAAAAGACCTGTGGCCAACAACCTCCAATATGGCTTTACAGAATTCTGCAGATAAAGTGCATTACCTTGTGTTCTTCCAAAGGGAAGGAAGGCAAGACATCCTTAGAAATGGCTCAATGGCATTAAAACTGGAGGAAGGAAATGGTGATTTCCTTCATGGTACCACATCCCACAAACCCTGTCTCAAGAACTCTCCAGAAGCCTCTGATGCTTGTCTTAGAATAAACATCTGAATTCCCTGGGTCCTGAACATGCCTCTGCTGCTCCTGCTTTCCTTGTCACTGATGGGTGGTGGTAAACAAAGAAGGAAGTGACAAAGGCCTAAAGGAAGTAGCACAGCAGAGGAGATAAGGACAACAGAGCCAGTCATCTCAGTCTGAATCCTGACCTCCCACTGCTGTGTGCCCTTGGGAAAGTTACTTAACTTCTCTGTGCCTCAGTTTCCTTATTTTTAAAATGGAGATAATCAGAGTATGTATCCCATAGGCTTTTAAAGAGGATTAAATGAACTAGGATTTGCAAAGGCATGCAAGAATGCCTAGCATAAAGTGCATATTAACTGTTAAATTCTGAGTTCCTTTATTGCGCAGTACTGCATATGAGATTTCGTTGGAGTGGCCTTCTGATATGACAAAGTCTCCCGTATTTCCACCACAACAGATACTCTGGGTGATCTATGACCTAGCCACATACCTAGTCATCTCTACAACAGCTACCTAACCATACACTAGTGTAAGAGTACTTATATGAGGAATTCCTCATGCCAAGGAAGAACTCAGCATCTGTTAGCCTCAGTTAAGTATATTTCATACCTGGATATCACGATAGGACAGCAGTAAATTAATGACGATGTCTGAGGTCAGAACTTCAGTATTATCCATGCGGAGTTTGATCCGAGCCAGCTCCTTCGCCAGTTCATCACCCTGGTACTTGTCTCTGGCTCTCCGGATGTCATTTAACAAGGTTTCTTTGTAATAAGCACTGGAGAGGGAAACATGAAAACCTCTGGTCATATCTACATGCATCCAGGACTCTGTTTCTGGCAGCTCAAACAAACTTGGTTCTCATGGACATAACTTAGGTTAACACACGGGGGCCTCACCCAGACCTGAGCCAGCAAATGGGAGACACGTCCTACTTGTTAGTCACATTTTGCAGAAACTAACCACTAAACAGTAACAAAGAAAAATCACTTCATTACAACCTTGAAAATATTTTCAAAATTGACCCCATCTGTATTTGGATGACACACAGGACTTGCTAGCGAGCCCACCCCACTTCCTCTGGTATTTTCAAACACACAGAGGGCAAGAAGGTACCTTACCTGAATAGTTACTGCCCCCGCTAATAACAGATTATCACAAAGCCAAACAAATCTCCAAAAGCCACGAAACACAGTAAAATTAGAACTTCTTTAATGACTCTATCTGGTGCCCCCAGCTGGTAATCATGAAGCTTTTTCCGGTTGGTTGAGAGCCACAAACTGGATGTGTCCATAAGTGATCCAAGAAGCTGTGCCTTCCACTCCCCACTCTCCTGGTCATTGTGGACTGTCAGAAGGCTTTTCTAATGTAAAACATAAAACTTCCTTCATGTGGGCATCTAGATCATCATAGGGATGTATAAAAACATTTAAAGCAGTTTAAATACACACTGGAATGTCTCACCATAGCCTCTCAAAGAACCAATGCTTGTATCTGGTATTTGGTTTAAAATCTTTAAAAACGATCTAATTTGGTGTTCAGGGGCCAACTTACAACGACCACAGATTGATTTAAATATGTTGTCTACTTTCCAAGTAATTTTTTTATGGAGACTGGGCATTGCCAAGCAGGAACACTGTCAACCTATTAAGTAGCTGAAATGATTTAACTGTAGACAATAAAATTAGGCTATTTATTAAAAAAAGAGTAAGCTCAATTAAATAATGGTCTTCAGAGAAAGAGGAACAACACATAAGAACAAATGTTACTTACTCTTAATAATTATAAAACTAAGCCAAATAAATGTGTATACAGTCCAATGCTTATAAGACCTCAATTAACATTTAAAGAATGAAGTGATGCCCCACAGAAAGCACTCTGATATAAAAATATCAGTGCATTGTGTTAATTTTGTTTTTTTTTTTGTGAGGGAGATCAGCCCTGAGCTAACATCCAATGCTGATCCTCCTCTTTTTCGCCGAGGAAGATCGGCCCTGAGCTAACTTTTGTGTCCATCTTCCTCTACTTTGTATGGGACGCCACCACAGCATGGCTTCACAAGCGGTGCATCGGTGTGCGCCCGGGATCCGAACCCACGAACCCCGGGCCGCCACAGCGGAGCGTGCACACTTAAACGCTTGTGCCCCTGGACCAGCCCCCAATTTTTTATTTCCTTATTTGTCTATTGCTTATCACTCCAATGATGAGAAAATTAGCAGACTCTGCCACTGTTTAAAATTCTATCATTAATCTAATAAGTTGAGTGACAGCCATTGTCCATTTGGTGGACTAAAAGCACATCCAAGTGATTAAAATGTTGTTAGTTTAGCCTGACAAGTAAAAAGTTATACTTTAGTTTAGCCTTGTTTCCAAAGGTAATTCTGCAAAATAGTTTTAATAAACTAAAAAATCTAATAAGAATGGTAACTTGCAAGTATATAAAGAAAACAGTGAATTGAGTAGGGCTTGGGGACAGCATATATGTCATAAACATGCAGCCACTTCTGCCTCTGGAAACCAGGAAAGATGTTGCTAATTGATGTGAACTTAGAAATGGCTTCAAACTCCTTTTCAGCACAGGGCTCCAGGCAGCCTTTATCAGTCTATCAGAGTTGGCACTTGAGCTAAAAATTTATCTGCCATCCCTGTTATAGACGTTTTAAACTATAAGCACCATTTATTCTCTCACTAACCATTGCCAGGTATCTGTCAGTTCAAAGGGTGGAATCAACCAACGGGTATATCAAGCCCTTTGAAATGAAACCAGATCAAGAGTTTTCCTACTGATATATATATACACATTGAATAAGAAACAAACTTGAGTCCATTTCTTGCAAAGATCTGGCTCACCTGGCAGACTCAAGCTAGCCCACCTCCTTGTCAGACCTGAAAAGATGATACTGGGAGAGCTTTCTCCCTAAACTTGACTAAAATGTTCATTCTACAATAAGACAGTAGTTAGCAAGGTGTGACTGAATAAGGCTTTCCAAAAATGTGCCACAAAAGGTCCCTCATTTGCTTTCTGTGTTGGCATGCAGTCACATATCTGGGTTTCCAGTCTTCTCTTCCCATTAAAGTCTGTAGAAAAAAAAACTCTATGTCCAGAGAGGAGGTGATTAATAGAAAAAGAGAAGAGACTGTTAACAAGTGTACACCTCATACCAGTACTACAATAGTAACACTCCACAGTTCAGAGTGCCACGATTTGAGCCAATGTGGGACGTGTGGTGCCTTACGTTTCATTATAAGTCAGTTCTGCCAATGCTTCGGATTTTCATTTGTTTTGGAAGGACAAATCCTTCTCCTTGTGACATAACTTACAGGAGTAAATCCTTTAAATTGGCTGTGAGCAAAATAACCGGATCCTTTGGTTAAGTAGAATAATTTTTCTGTCTTCAACTTTTAGAAAAAGAACATTTTAAAGTATGATTTCTTGAGCACTGAGGCTCAAAGAGCTGAGCTGACTTTTACAAGGGTACACAGCTAGGAACTGTATGAGCCAGAATGCAAACCCAAACCTGTACACCTCTGAATCAGTATTCCACACTGTCTCCAACAGAAGGGTACAAAGGACACATCACAGGACATCCTGAGGTCAGGATACCTTCAGCTTGACTCAATGCATTCCGACTTTGATAGCATAAGAACTTATGGTCACAATGACCTTGCTGAGGCATTTTAACACCTCAACAACTGATGGGGGGTGTTGGGGAAATCATGTTTAGAAATGATCTTGAAACACAGAATGTCAGAATTGAAAGCAAGCATTAGAAAAAAATTAGTGACAACTTCCTTATATTCTGGATGAGAAAAGTGCTACTGGGAAGTTTTTTTATCAAGGTCACACAGGGAGTCAGGGCCAGACACAGGCTCTACCTTAACCTCCTAACTCTAGTTCTATTCTGTTTTGGATACACTTCAGTGGCCCAACTGAGTGAGGCAGTAAGGGACAATAATGGATTCCAGGATGACCTAAAAATGATTGGCCAGAGTTCCCCATTGTCTGGCACTATGGTCTTTTGAGGGTTTATCGCCTCCATGAACATCAAGGGCAATTTTTGGGAAAGCTCCCAGGGTTGTTGACAGGTGACGGGAATTACCATGAGGTCACGTGGATGTCCTTGAGGAGGCTAGTAAACCTGTCAACCAGGGGCACACACAGCGGGCCCAGGATGGTGTCCCAGTTGGGCTGCATGTACTCTGAGGCACGCTTCTGGGCATCGCTCTCGCAGCAAAAATAATCAGCACACGGTGTCACGATGTACGGGATGAAATAATAATTTCCACTAGATGCCTGGAAAAAAGAAACAGAAATGTTTCACAAAGTAATTGATGCAGAAGCATAGTTGTGTATTTGGGCAATTGGAACCTGGTGGGACAGCCTGAGTATAAACAACAATTTGTGCAACATGACTGTGAATCTATTAGACACAAACCAGGAAACCACTCAATTTCATAAGCTTTCACAAATGGATGTATGACAAAAATTTGGTTTCAAATGCTGAACTGATCTGCATGTCTCTGAACTTCATTAGCAGAGATTTCAGGGTCTGAAGCCTCAGAAATCACATCGTTTCATTATATGCCTCCAAAACCAGAGGGAATCTGAACCTATTGATAACCAAGGACTGCAATGTCAAGGCATATTTTCTTTCTTTCAGTATAGATGGAAAGGTATTATTATTTGATAATTTAACTATAGGTGAACTATTATCAACTTTGTTGAGTAAAAATTGTTTCGCAGGAAGCAGATATTAATAAATGATTAGATCAGTAGAGATTATGCAATCTGAAGAACAGAGAGAAAAAATAATGAAGAAAATGAACAGAGCCTCAAAGAAACGTGGGACACCACCAAGTACACCAACATACACAACACATAATGGGAGTCACAGAAGCAAAGGAGAGGAAGGAGTAGAAAAATACTCAAAGAAATAATTGCTGAAAAATTCACAAATTTGATTAAATGAATCTACATACCCCAGAAGTTAAGTGAAATCCAAATAGGAAAACTCAAAGAGATCCACACCCAGATACACCATAGTCAAAAATTTGAAAGACAAAGTCTTCAAAGCAGCACAAGAAAAATGTCTCATGTACAAGGGAACCCCAATGAAATTAACATCTGCCTTTTCATCAGAAACAATGAAGGCCAGAAGGCAGTAGGATGACATATTCAAAATGATGAAAAAAAAAAAATCGACCAAGAATCTTATATCTAGCAAAACTATTGTCAACCTACAAAAACAGAAACCAGTTTACAAGACAACGCATTTATTTGGGATCAAAGAATTGCAATTTGGGGAGCACAGTTTTAGGTAGAAACCCAAATAGTGTCCCAATTACAGGAGAGGGGCTCAGTGTTTTATGGGAAAAAGGGAGGATGATGTAAGTTGTATTAAAGAACAGTTCACTGGTGCTAGATGAGGTAAGGCTAGGTTTGTACTTCATAGATTGGCTTGAGGTTTGGTCATCAGGCAAAAGGTTAGACTTGTGCTTCACTGATTGGTTAGCTATCTGGTCATCAGCAAAGCCCAATTTATTCAGTCCTTACAGACAGGATATTCTCGTCCTTACTAACTTCTTAGATTATCAACAGTTTGGTCCAGTTTGAAAGATAAAGAAAACAAGACATGCAAGGCAATTCCTCTGAAAACGGCTGCTCTGGCTCTATTTTAATATGGCTCCACCCATGCCATCCTTCACACTATCTTTTAAAAATGAAGATGAAATAAAGACATTTTCAGATAAACAAAAACTAGATAATTTGTTCCTAGCAGACCTGTCTTACAAAAAATACTAAAGGAAGTTCTTTAGGCTGAAAGCATGTGACACCAGACAGTAATTCTAATTCACATGATAAAAACAAAGTATGCCAATAAAGGCAGTTATATAGGTAATTATAAGAGACAACATAATTGCCCATTTCTTCTTTCTTCTGATAAATAAATGAAAAGCAATAGGAGATATCGGAGTATATGAGGAAGCCATTTGGTTTAAAACTAATTTAGCCTGACCTTGTTTTTCCAAAAAGGCCTGACATGGCCTGCTGAGCATGCATCGCCCACCTGCTTTAAACATTTGCAATGTCCCAAAGAATGATGCCCTTAAAGATAAGGATGTGCCTTTCCCCATGTCGGCATTTCCTTAAGGATAAGCATCTCTTCCTAAAAGCTGAGGATCAATTACTGACCTGCTGTGTTCACCTTGTGACCACTCACCTGCTGTGCCAGCAATCTTGTGACTATTGTAAAAGGGACATTCCTAACATATGTGATGTATGCTCTTTGTTCCAAGACGGTATATAACCACTTTGTACACCCCAGTTCTTTGGTGACCTTCCTTCCTTGGGGAAGGAAGACCCAAGGCTATAGTCCTCAAAGTTGGCTCATAGTAAACTCACCTCAATTTTGATTTATTGATTGATTATGGATCATTTGCATCGACGTTCCTTGGTGTAGTCACAGTAGGATTTCAGAGAGATCCACCAGAGACCATGTGGAGTCTACACCAAATCAGCATTCAGTACCAATAGGGCCCAATGAGTCCCCTGGATCATTGCATTCTTCAGGCAACCCCAGTGAGTTCTCCTGAAACCAGGACCTCCTTATTGTAAGTCAACAGTTCAGAGTTTATTTGAGCTGTTTTCAAGTCTTAAGGCTAGGTGTCTTAAAGGTGTACCGGTACATACCCTAGGTCAGAGGAAGCTGGGGGTGGAATTCCCAGGTAAGAGAAAACTAGGGGGGATTTCCTAGGCCGGGGGAGCATAGGGGGAACTTTGGAGTGCATGGGGCAGGCTGACCTTTTTAATTTGGCTTTAAATTGGAAAGAATTGTGTTTATAAAGTCTGAACAAACTTCTTGATAGAGAAATAAGAGTCTGAACTTGTTCAGCTCTAAAGAGAAGGGACACCAGCTCCTCCCAGCCATAAGGCATTCTCAGGAGACTGGAATCCTAGTGGGAGTGTCTAAGGTTGAGCCTCCAGACGTGCAGCAGTCCCATATGGAATTCCATGATGATTGTTCACTTTAAGTAATTGACGGCTTGTCCAGGGTCACGCATATGAGGGTTGGTCATCCATGCACCCCGAGACCTCACAGTCATTTCAGACTGCCAGCAGGAGAAACCAAGATATGTAAGAGTGCTCACAACCTTTTTTAGGGAGTGATACAAACAGCACACTTCTTTTTTTTTTTTTTTTAAGATTTTATTTATTTTATTTTTTTCCCCCCAAAGCCCCAGTGGATAGTTGTATGTCGTAGCTGCACATCCTTCTAGTTGCTGTATGCGGGACTCGGCCTCAGGATGAACGGAGAAGTGGTGCCTCGATGCGCACCCGGGATCCGAACCCGGGCCACCAGCATCGCAGCACGTGCACTTAACCACCAAGCCACAGGGCCGGCCCAACAGCACACTTCTGACCCACTACACTGTCCCTAGAAATTGTTCAGACTTTATAGTAAAACAAAACTAAAAGAAAAACGGGAAATCAAGCTTCTAAAAGCTTACCAGTTCCCGAATGGGCAGCCTCTGCTTGGAACTCCAGCTGGTTTCATGCTGAAACTCGCAAGTGCTTAATGAAATGGGGATACCTATAAACGGCTGGCAAGATAACCCAGGATAATTTAAAATTACAGTGGCCACTTTGGGGATCCTTTGAGCCTCTAAAACTTGTACATTGGACATTAGAAAGAACGTTCCAATTAGATAAGATCTTTTAAGAAGTGTACTTATGGGGCTTGCCCAGTGGTGCAGCAGTTAAGTTCACGTGTTCTGCTTCAGCGGCCCGGGGTTCGCTGGGTCAGATCCTGGGTGTGGACCTACTCACTGCTCATCAAGCCATGCTGAGGCAGCGTCCCACATAGAAGAACTAGAAGGACCTACAACTAGGATATACAACTATGTACTGGGGGCTGTGGGGAGAAAAAAGAAAGAAAAAGAAGACGATTGGCAACGATGTTAGCTCAGGGCCAATATTCCTCAAAAAAAAAAGTGCACTTATTAAGTCATGACTACCTTTGAAGGAGGTCCCAATATGAGCCCCTCCCAGGGTTAATGAGACTCTGAGAGATTTTTTTGGGAAACTGCTACCCTTAAACAGTCAAGGGGAAACTAAAATTAAAAAATTAATGGAGTTGTTTAATACTGCCAGATAGTTACTGTGTGTCCCAGCTGAAACCTGACAAGATATTTGAAAGGATTTAGCAACTTATGATCAGAAATTCAGCCAAACTGGAAGCTGATATTCAGAGCTTGTTAAGAATTGTTTAGGCCTTCTTCCCTAAAATAAAACTAAAGACCCAGAGGGAAAGAAGCAAATTAGGATGAGGTAGTTGGACAGGTAGGTTGACCTATAATGTCATTTAAGTTACAACCCAAATTTCTGAGAAACTAAGAGCAACTGTCCTCAACTTACAAATCTTTGCAAAACTGCAAAGCAGCTCTAGAGGCAGGTCAGATTCCACCCATTTCCTTTATCTCAAAAAGGCTTATCGCCTTGCCCCTCTGGGAACTGTTATCCAGCCCATCACCAATTCCTAAGGCTGAAGGAAAAAAAGGAGAAAAAAGCAAGAAAAACAGCCATGAGAGTGCCCTCTCCCAAAATCTAGCATCTTGAGTATCTTCTCCACAAATATTAGAAAAAACTTAAAATTTGGATTAAATTATTCTTTCATAACTAGTGAGCCTTATATTACTGTACCTGATTCATGGCAGTAATAACTGCAGAGTCATCATGTATGTGTGTCTATGTGTACATTACATATGTGTGATATCTTACCTCCAGATGGTATAATTTCTAAAGAGCTCTATTTAATTGGCTTAAACGAAGCGCTTACATAAATGTAATGGAAACTAACCCAAATGTCTTTCAAGCTAACATGATATAAAATAATCTTTGGTAAATAAAAGCTTATTTAAGATTATTGGTTTGATTAAAATGAACATGTTTTCAGAGTCATCAGCATGGAAACAAGGAAACTAGACATGAAAAAGGTAAGAGTGTTAGGTGAACTTTTTAATAATTATGTGTTTTGGTGTATGTACTTAATTTCAAAACCTTTTGGTAACTTGAACCCTTAGAGTTTTGCTAAGTGAGTTAAATGATAAAATTTGAATATCTAGATCATTTCCAAATAAGAAAAATATTAGACATTGATTATTAAATATAGGTTTATCTACTTTTGGCTTATTACAAAGAAACTAAAAAGACGTTTGGGTCTATTAGTAAACATGTGTTGTATTTTATTTAAAAATCATACTATGAAGTAGCATGTTTCTAGAAATTATAAAAAG